CGTAAATAAGCCATCCTCTTTCGGTGAGATCAACCAAATAATCCCTTCACTAAATCTCCACATAAATGTTAGCTCAAGAGATTTATCAAAACCCAGATATGCTTCGTTTCTCATTTTCAGTCTAAGTAGCTTTCAAGATTGTCAGTAATTCTTGAACAACAATTTAGTCAACAATTTAGACTAGGCCTAGTACTAACATCTCCAGTACAAACAACCCGGTATCGAATCGTGTTAGGAGTGCTGAAGAAACGGTGAAGCGAAGTCGAAACTGCAGTCCGGTCCAATCAAGCCTGGATAAGATAGCCTTTTTGGAGGCAGGGTTAAGTGAAATTGAATGGCCTTCTAAGGCTTACTCAACAAATTGTGGGAAAATTCAACTGTCAGCCTTTAAATCAGACTAGGCGACCAAAACTGATTACGTTCTAATAAAAGTTTTATTCAAAAATACTGATAACTTGGAAATACAGGCAGTTTGAAATTAGTACGTGCTCAAATAGTGCAAAGCTCGATTTAGTACGAGTTATAAACTGACACGAGCCAAAATGCAATTGCTAGTATTCATCATTAGAATGCAGTAGAACAGATGCAGCAGTTATCGTTAGACACTTGCTCTTTATGCATGTGTTGATGTATGTTACGTCATCCTGTTTTTATGCACAGTAAAGTGTGCCCTTGGCAAATATGGACACAGGGCAGAAAAATAAGCGATTGTTGAGTATACTTGAACAAAAAAATATGATGTAATCAAAAGATACAAACATGGTGATAGCAATTCTAAAATCGGCGAGATGTTGGAATGCATGACTCAACGGTACGGGATATTTTAAAACATGCGAATGAAATAAGCGCATTAATTTCATGCGATTTGAATGTCACCCCCTAGGAATAGAAATACTACAATTATATATTTGTGTGAGAATATAAAATAAATCATTTTGCTAGCAAAGATGGCATCTTCAGTGTAGCCCTTGGACAAGGTGAAAATCACAATATGTAATGCATGCTGCGTTCTATATTGTATTTCTCTGCCTATAATATAGCTTTAGCTTTTAACACATTTTTATTATCCTCAGCTATTAAGACACGGATAAAAAATTGTACTATTTTCGCATTCTTATTAAGCATTTTCAATGGGATGGGACCGATTTCATGACTTTATATGTTATAATCGCTTCTAATAATAGAATCGTGAATAGTGCTACAATTTTGTTGGACGAATTATTTATATTAATCTCGACCTGCTTGTATTCTCACGTGCATATATACTCCTTAAAGTATGCTCATGATATTACTCCCCAGGGCCACTTTGACATCGCCCAAACATACTTGATTATTAAGAGCACGTGTTGTCCAGCTGCCTCAATTGCATCATTCTGAACTGCAGAAGGACCTCTCAGCATGTGGATTAGTCGAGCCTCATGTCGAGAAAAATCTCCAATCCCTCCAGTGTATATTGAGAACTACTTTGTGACTTCAAAAAACCTGAAACTGAGGTTTTGCCTACAACTAAATGATGAGGCCCCAAGATATCATTAAAGTTCAGCCAGCCGTGTCTATCTGGCGCTCACAAAAGGAGTCGAAAGCGGCTCGTGAGCATCGTGGCAACACGTCACCACTCTGCCAGACAACCACGAGTGCCCGTGGGTCACAGGGCAGATGTTACTCCCACTGCAAGACAGACCCTTCACAAATCACAATTAAAGTTTTCAATATGAACTTTCAGTGGGCGGTTAGTATGCAAGATGACTGACTTCTATCGTGAGTGAGTAGGTTTTCGAGACTGGCTTGCCTTGCAAGTAGCATCTGACCTCTGACCCCCTGGTACCCATGACGATGCAACAGATTGGTGGCGAGACTCCCGTTTAAACGTACCCCTCGAGTTTGTATTCCCTCCAGAGTTAAGATGAGACGCAGGTGATGTCAAAAATACAGCTCAGTTCAGCCTGGATGAGGATTTCATTTGGAAGACAAAGCTAAATGAAATGCATCCTGATGCTTATTCATTTTGTTTGGGGCATAACTCTGCAGGTAAGTTCTCTACCAACATATATATATATATTCATATTCTATATATCTTTCGAAATTATTCAATATTTTTAAGTAACGACATGGCCTTCCTATGTCGGTTTAGGGTGAGTTGAGAACTGATGTGTATATGTATATATATGCATAAAGTTGAATTAATTATATCTATTTATTTATATTTATATATGCCAATATTCCAAAATTGTCCCCATTCTTGACCTCTGTCTTGGTGTGTGGTAGTGGAGGTGGTGACAATTAACAATTTCGGGAGCCGTATTCTTTTTATTGGCGGATGAACGTATGTGAAACATGGTAGTATAAACTAAAGAGGTCATCTAGGATCTACAGGAGCACGGCTGAATGCTTAGTTCGCTGGTTGCCACCGGGCCGACTCGCCTTGGACGACACCGTCTCACCCTCACAAGTTGGCTGTATGGAAGAGGAGGACAAAGAGGGCTGCCAGATTGCGAAAGAGCTGGCAGGCGAAGGCAAGCAGGATGGACATGAAACTGACACCAGTTAAACTCAATTTGGTTACGTAGGAACGCGAAAGGAAGTAGCGTGGCTCACCGGTCGCCCGGTCTGATTGCAATTCCTGCAGGCAAGTGGTGTACTCCCACGCGGTCAGACAGCTGGTGATCACAGCAAACAGCAGTCCGTAGCCGGTCAACAGGCCCAGCAGCAGATAGAGCCGTCTTGAGAAGAGGAATGAGCAAATATTCAGCAAAATAGACGTCACCATGGCGGCGAGAAGCAGTTGAGTCCAAATGTTGAAGGCTCTGCCTCGATAGGGCCGAGTCCGACAGACTCGCCAGAACTCGACCGCATTCCACTTGTCCGAGTAGTGCTCGTCATTTTCCGCCAAATCATAGCGATAGTTCCACAGGCCCTGGTGAATGGAGATCTCTGGTGGCGGAACGAGTGCTAGCACTTTGACGTCAAATGCACTCTTGCCCAAATACTGCTCCGTGATCTGAAAGTACACCGAGTACAGGTGATCCGAGCCCATGCTCGTCAGCAAGAAGATGAGAGAGAAAGTGTCCAGGAGAGCCGCACTCATCAGCGTGCTTGACTGTATGCAGCTCAGTCTCTTCAACCATGCCGTGCTGGGCAGTTGAGGGGCCAGGATCGCTCGAAACTGAAGCCCAATCTCGAGGTTCATGATGCTCGCTGAAACCGGCCGTCTTGCGCCGACTGGCCTGCCCTCGGACTTGACGGGGCCGCTCGAGGCCGTTGGAGGCGCACGTCTTTCGAAGACAAATCAATACCGGCCCCAGACTCACGCTGGTGCCGAGGGCGTCAGGCCATCCTGATCCTTCTACAGAACAAACATAGTCGAGATGTCTAGTCAGTGAGTCGGTTCGCCTATTCACTGCTGGTGGCCGGCTGAAAGCTTATTTCTGCCCTTGTGTCGGTTGCCAACATCCAACACCGCGTACAGGCATGAAAAAGTGGTTTAACCGAAATAAAAACAGGCGAATGAGTGATGCCTTTAAAGGGTCCATAAATAATATTAATATAAATTAGTAGGTTTCGAAACTATCCGAAAAATCTTGAATAACAATTAGTTACAGATGAACTAGGTTGACTGAAACTCATATTCAGGATATGATGATAGTGTTAGTAAAGACTACTTATTTTAAATATAAGTAGCGTATTCGAATGTACCTGGCAAAATACACATTTGACACAAGAAAAATATTGAAATTCAAGTCTATCCTGTAACCCAAAGGCACTCTTTGCAGTCGCACAGTGATTAAGGCGTTGAGAGTATATGCTGCACAATCGCAGTTCGAGTCCCTCTGAGGTGCTATGGAGATCCAAGCGAGGTCGAAACCGCAGTCTACTCCAGCCTGGAGAATATAGCCTTTCGGGAAGCAAAGCAAAGTGAAATTTACTTGCAGTTAGGCCTGCTCGTAGGATTGTGGGATAACTTAACTATCACTTCTTCAAGGATGACTGGAATACTTATTAACGTTTTATTGATAATTTTGTAAGCCTAGTTTTTATACAAGTGGTCCGACTTCGTTTCCAACTCGGTAGTGTTGCTAAGGTGACCTAGTTGGACGCAATTTGTCTGAAATCCTCTATTATGGTATCTATGATAATTCCCAGCATCAGACCATGGACTTGGTACATTCTCAGACGATCAGTTGGTCAAGGGATCGACTTCACTTATCTCTTTTGATGAGTTGTAGCTTGATGCTAATGGCAAAACTCACTGACTATGCTGACAAAACGTCTGAAAATATATCAAGTAGCAAAAATGAGGTAAGGCCACTTCTATGCGTCGAAAGAAAACTGCGACCAAAACAGAGGCCAAA